CCTTAGATAGCTGTGCCTTTTTAGAATTGAGACGGTAGATCAACTTCTGGTTCTCCTTTTCTCTTGATTTATTAAAGTATGTTATTGACACATCTACCCGCTTGAAGCGAAGCATCCGAGAATTCTGACAAGTTTTAACTGGACTGTGATCTACATGCCGGCGCAATGGATGGGTGCATAATTCGTTTTAAACTAGGCTGTAGCAAGCAAATGGCAACGCCAGTCAGTTCGTTTTGATGACTGCTTCTCCTTTTCGGGTCGCGGAAGCAGACGCGTCAGACAGTGCTTCCAACTTTCCTGGTGCTGTGCCAACGTTTGAGCTTCAGCAAAAGAAAACTATTGCCCAAAATAGAACACTTCAATACACTTGGCCCAGGTTAATCTCTGCCGTCCCCTGGGTTTTCTGTTGATCAGCTGGGCAAGTAGTAGTTGCTTCCCCTTCTTTTTGGAGGCATTCGCAACACGTGCTCATAACATCATAGCTGTGACTTAAACGGATAGCCGCTGTGCACTAAAGTTCTCGCGGATATCTATATTTCTGACCATGTCGAAAAAGACCTCTTGTACCCGGGATCGAAGTTTTTCATTGGGTCCACGACTCATCACCGTAGGTGAGCATCAAAATGAAGATTGGCTTGAACACAGGCAGCTTAACCTTTAGACTCAGCTCTGCCTTAATTACAACTTTTAGGGCTCTAATTCATGCAGAACGCTACTGACCACTCCAATTCAGCGGTCGATTTCTCATTTTTCATGGCCAATAAACACCATCTCGAGGTACGTGAACTTCATATCTGTTCCGCTGCTTCTTTTATATGCGGCGAGTAACGCTTCAAGATAAACAATCGTTGTGCATCTTCCTGCCATGCGAAGACGATTTTTGAATCGTGATCTGTTCATAAGATATGTAGTAAGTGAGCAGCTTCCTATGCTTTCTTCGCGATAAATACGGACAGTGATCCATACACCTTCAGTTCAGGTAAGTGATAACTATATCCTCAAAGTTAGAACTGCCTTGACAGGCATAAAGCTCTTTGGTGTTTGTTACGACTCATTAAACAATCGTTTAAGGTTCATGACAGGCCTTCTCAGTTACCTGAGCGTCTCATCAGTATGCAATACAACGTATTTTCTTTTTGTCATGCACTTCCCACTTTGTCGTTGTCCCTCACCGTGTAGGAGATATCCATGTTAGAAAGTGGTAGGCTCTCCACAGATCGATATGGCTTGAGCGACTATAGCGTAAGATCGCATAAGAGCGAAATATTTTGGAGTGCACTCATTATCTGAAGATCTGTCGTGCACCCTGAAAAAGCCATAGTAATGAGAGGTTGAATAACTTCCCTATACCTTTATAAATATCGGAGGGCACTTCGACTACAATTCAAAGTGAAATAATTGCGCCAAGCGTTTAGATTCTTTGATGAAAGCAAGGTAAAAAAATGTCATTTACGTCGTCTATCCTCTGAAACGTATGTAGCTGTTGGATATAGCCAAAACACGTAGTTCTTTACATTACCGAAGTCGAGAGATTGCGGATTCGACTTCAGGTCTGGTAGT